AGTGACTGCCGGCAGTTGTCCTCTACTTCACAGCGAGTGAAACGGAAAATTTGTGTACAGAAAGTTATTTCTTATAAAGAACAGAAACTTTCACAGTGCAGTGGAAAACAAAACTATGTAATTAAAAGTGAAAAAACTCTGACTACTTATAGTATTTGAGCAACAGAAAAATGATTCTTTTCTTTTAGAGTAAGTTTACTGGCCTTCTACCGGTATTTCCGAGAAAGTTTTACGGCGCACAAAATGGTTCTTTGACTGAAGAGAAGGATAAAGCTGGTTCTACAAAGGGAATAAATCTGGGCATGTGAAAAAGTATTTACTAATTTAGAAAAAGAGTGGGTTTTAATTCAGCCCGGCGAAAGAAGGCGAAATCAACTCACAAATAAATCGAATGAACAATCAAAGAAATACTCGCCTCTTTGGAAATGTTCAAAACTCTTTATTCCACCTCTCAGACTGACGGAATGATCCGTTTTTCCTTTAAAATTGGTTGTTCCGAGTCCAAAGTAATTTTCAAGTGACGAAAAACAAAACCACACAAAAGTAAAAAGGCTTTTCGAGGAGCAAACGTTCACACCTTGTGCATTTCATTCAGTCTTAGTCAGAACTCTCTCAGTGACAAACAAACAAACTCTCGAAGAAAAGCCCGCCTTGAGCCTGCGATAAAGGATGCGTAGAAGCTTAGGCAGAACGTTTTTCCGCCCTGAAGGAACGCCCTGGCGATTTACACTAGTTCCTAGTTTCCTCTCTGTCCTACTTGGAACGGCTTGGCATTTTTTTTACAAAAACATGGCGGGACTTTTAGCAAAGAGTAAGACAGATAAATCTGATGACTGCTCCTTGGAAAGCAAGAAACCCGACTTAAATGTGCTACAAGAAGCGAAACAGACCGAATTCCTGAATTCCTAAAGTAGAGCAGAACAGGTCAAAACTGTTTGGTATCAAGGAAACAACACCGAAAGCCAACCGTGCCAAACACGCGAAACTGGATGGGCTTATCGCAGTGTTAGATAGTCTTACCGTTCCATCGTAATACGAAAGAAAATACACGACAAGTGGCCGATGGAAAGGATATCTGCCGTTTGCTATAGCATTTGACCTATATTCAGACCTTGTGTTCACAGGCAGCCACGAATATGTCACAATGAAGCAGCAAAAGTATCAATTCCGAACTGATATACTGCACCCTGAATATGGACTATGCATATATATATTCAAACACAATGAGAAGGAACTTGTCATTTTGCCAAATGATCACGTGGAATTGTCAGGTGTTTTAAATGTAAGTGAAATACAATCGAACTGTTACCATTTGTTTATTTTGAGGGTGTATGTTCAGGGATGCAGCTAGAAATTTTTGTTTGGGAGCGCGTCTTGTTCATTCTTTTCTTATATACAAATAGAGGCATGGTTGGCACAACATAGAGTGCCTATACCTCCCACCATTGTAGCCCGCTAGGCTCGATTCTAGCTCAAGCAGAGGAAGAATTTCTGTTCCAGTCAGATGCATCCAGATCAGTTGTGTGTGATGAACACGAGTTTTATTGTCCTTTCTTAGTCTCTTGTGGGCTTGGAGAGACATTCTTAGCTTCTTAAATGTGCTGTTTACACATAAACTTTAAGAACAACAATTTTGTGATCAATTAGACCATGTACTACAGTCTAATAATGTGACTTTATGGCATTCCACACCTCTCATGATCACAGGAGAAAAAAATATATAATTTTCACAAATAACCTTTGAGAAGTGGAAAATGGTTTTTATGCAAAAGTACTATTAACTCTAAGCAACCTGTGTTTCCCTCCTTTTTCCTTTAAAAAAAGGAAATTGCTGGACATCAGGAAATGGTCCCAGATGAAATAAATCATGCACTATCATTTGAATTGGTTCAAGGTCTTTTGGGTACCTTGGACTCTGAATGAAGCAGACTGGCTGTTAGAGGACTTTTGTCAAGCATGCTATCAGGTATTTGTGCATTGACTTTTCTATCACCAGATTTAATTTAATTGTCATCCTTACACAAGATTTTGTGATATTTTGTGTTCACCAGGTAAACAGCTATACAACATTGGTATAAAGCCTACAACAGGCAATGCATCACTCTGGAGACTGAAATATGTCATTGAGGAAACTAGCAATGCGAAACTGGCTGCTAAAGACATTGCCCGCTTAAAAATTAAAGAAAGTATTCGCCACCTCACTGACAAAGAACAGGAATTGCAGAAAGCATTGCAAAATCCCTTGTTATCAGATGTCAATAACAAGAGGATTGAAGAAGAGCTGTCTGCAGTTCATAAAAGGTATCGTCAAAAACTTCAGCTACAATCAAATGAAGATTCATTGGCATTTGTGTCCATGGTCTCGAGAATTGCACAAACTCTTATTGAAGAAAACAGACTCAAAGCAAGGGCGCAGGGTGCAGGGCGATCCACTCTGCTTGATGAAGACACTATGGAACTTGTGGTTAAAACCCTAGAAAGTGACAGTAGTGCAGAATGAAGACGCCGAGACTCGGTTCTGTATTGTGATAGGAGTCGAGTCAAAGAGGCTGATCTGTTGGACATTGCAAACTACTACCTAGAAGAGCAAGGCAAGCCGTGTATAAAAAGCTCACGTACAGTGGTCTTATGGCAAAAACCCAGGAAGAGTAACACGAGAGAGGCCAAACGTCACCACAAAGCGTCTGATGGGAGATTTTTCTTTACATGTAAGAAACCCGAGAAAACTTTAGAGGATAGTCACATAGATACTCATCATCAACGGGCACATGTAAAGCTTGTCCGGACGTATGCATATAAGAATGAAGAACTTGCTTCCCTTACACTTGACATTAGTATGGATGACAAAGCCACTGTAAAAGCTGATACTGATGTTGGTTGGTATGGTACGAAAGGAAGAGGGATTCTCATGTCAACTGAGAAACCGCATCACTACAAAGAGCATGACTTTGTCGGAGTGGAGAATCAAGTAACACCCAGTGCATTTAGAGCAATGAAATGGACTGTAAGTGATGTTGATGAGAAACCAACCTTGGTTCGTACTTTTGACCAGTCCTTTGTAACAGTGCGACCGAAAGATAAGAAGCTATTGGGATCATCAGGAGCAGTGTGGACATCCGATAAGATACGTCTGGTAGAAGAATTTCCCACTGTCTTTTGTCTTCCAACTTCGCTGCATCCGAGCTTGAGTATATTTTTACTAAGAGTCCAACACCATTGTTTTCTGTATCATTTTTGCACAGAATATGCAAATGGGGATATTCTCACACAAGAATTGCCTTATGAAGAGGAAAGGAAGACCACTCTACACAATGGACTAAGTGCTGCAGTAGAAGACTTTCAAGTCAGCCTTAATGACATTCCTCCATCACAGAAAGAAAGCATTTCATCTATCTATCAACAAGTAGAAGATCTCAAAAAGAAACTGGAGACATTCCGTGTTCCTGAGGACATTAAAGGCACCGACGAATCTCGTAAGAAGCTTTATGATATAATGAGACGTTTCCCAGAGCGACCTGTACCATACCCCAATGTCTTAGAATTGACAGACAAAGGTCCTGGATCAGGTGTCCATAATATAGAATCCAGGACTTGTTCCTTCTGGTGTGCCAGTTGCTTGAATCAGACCATCGTATTCGTTTGCATAGGGCGCCGCATGACTCGGCGCAGAACGAGGCAGAACGCACTAATGCTGCAATTGGAGAAGCTCTTACGACAGGAAGTCCGGTCGCCCCACCCAATGACCCTTTTCATGGGCTTACTACTGCAGAATTGGAAAGAATGTTCTTGAAAGACATAGAACAACACTGCATTGCCTGGGAGGAAGCAAATACTTGGTCAATGGCCAACCAAATTGCACAGCGCATTCATGACGAATCGGGTCCTGGAAAGAATGACTTCCTGATCTCCCTTACCAGCTACCATCCGGAAAGTCACATCCTGCTTCATCTCTCGAAGTACCTTCTTAAATGGAGGAAGGCTTCTCCACAGCAACGACATAAAATATGCGGGAACGGAGTTTTTTTAAAGCTTCAAAAGATGAAAGATGCCCATGTGAAGCAAGGACAATACTACCTTGAGTACTTGAAGTTTTCATGTGACCCAACCTGCGATGAATGCGAGGAAGAAGGTTGGACAGGTAGCATTCCCATTACACGATCTCCATTGCCAGCCCTTGATCCGTCCTCGCCAGGAAAGTATCTCCCAGTTGATGAACCTCGTTTGGCTCCAAGCGAGGTTGACAGTATCCTTCCTAGTGTACAAGTGAAGAAGATGTTTGTTGAAAAGAAAGTGACCTCTTCTGATAACCAGGCCATACGGCAAGCATGCTTAAAGCTTAACATCGACGAAAGTTCTTGCAGAAGATATCTTCAGCACCTTGAATTCTTGGCTCTAAAAGCAGACAAAAGAAATCTGGAAAGAAACACCATTCCAGAAGATATTTGTTGGGAGAGCAGAGACGATGTTGAAAGACTGACTAACAAGCAACTTCGGCTCTATCTAAGGCAAGAAGGTCTAATGGTATCTGGAAACAAGGCACAATTAGTTGAGCGAATACTTAAGCATGCAGATGGTTCTGTAGCAAGAACATTTGATGAAGACATCGAAGATGATGATGAAAACATGCCCTCCAGTTCTCATGATGATACCTCAAGGGATTCTGAGGAGGAGTCAACCGAGTATGAAGGTGGTTCATCAGGCGACGATTATGTGGAGCGCAGCTTCCAAGTTTTATTTATTGATGATGCAGACATACCAGAAGTAGTGTAAAGGTAAAGAGGGATGTACGGAGGATTGGAGGTTGGGGAGGGGGGTTGAAAGTAATCTCCCCTCTAGACGGGGGTGGACAAGAAGTTATTTTAACTTTAATTCAGGGGGGGTGCAACTTTATTTTAAGGCTTACTTTGCTAATTTTAGCAATATTACACAAGTGATCAAAGGAACTGTAGAAAAGAGATGCAAACTAAGCTAATTATAAAGTGATTAGCACCAATACGCCAAAACGCAAAGTACAGTAATTAATCAATGAGAGCGAATACAAAATAAAGAAAGATCAAAAAGTGACCCTGAATAAATTAATAAAGTTAAACCTTCAGCGGCCACCTATTAAGTGGCTACCCCCTATTTAGCTGCCAGTATTCAAAGTCCCCAAATAATTGAGTAAAGAATGGAGAATTAAACCTAAGTATCTAAAGCGACAACCTTTGGCAGTCCGAACGAGAGTTCTTCCATTGATTTTATCTCTATTAAGCGACCATCATGCAAGAGCTTGATACACTTAGTTTGGCTTTATTTCAAGAATATGATGAAGGAAAATAAAGCTTGAGATACTGAAGGTGGCGAGCAGTTCTGGTCCAGTTATGCTGCTCACGTCGCGTATTTGTTTCAAAAATAATGAAGTGATGTTTCTGCTAATTATGCTAACTTATGACGAAACCTTTTTTGAGCTGCCTACCTGGTACCCCGAGGGTGGCCACTTGATGGAGGTTTAACTGAAGAAGATTAATTATGAAAATATATATTTATTATATCGAAGGACCTCCTATCCAAAACACAAAAATTTTTCAAGTCAAAGCCCTATAATTAGAACCTTTCATTAATGAACCTGAGTTGAAGAACCTCCCAAATTAAGCGGCCACCCACGGGGGACCGGCCAGTGGCCGCTTGATGCAGGGTGGCCGCTCATTAGGGGTTCGTCAGGGCATAATCTTTTGAAGAAACATCACTTTATTTTGAAACAAATTAAATACGCGACGACTGCTTTAACTTAAAGGTTCTACTGCTCTTTAATCGCTCTGACTGTAAGTCTTAATTATGTTTTACAAGATAATTATTGCAAGTGGGTGGATGGGAGGGTAACTCTGGTGCTAGGATAGCTCGCACATTTCTTCTTTCTTTATACGACGTGTTTACAAGGCAGGTAATCCTACCTGCATTGTAAATGCTCTGCTGGGGATAACTCGCCTACCCGGAACAACTTTCCTCCGTCATGCGTGACCAACTTAATACGGAATTATCCAATTTCTAAAATTTAATTAAATTAAATTCAGCTTAGTTCCTAAGCGTTCTCGGCTCGGTCAATCCTGGACTCTACCGTGAGCTGTGACGTCACCGAGAGAGACACGCCGAGAACGCCTAGCCAATATTGCCAGATCAAATATGGCGGCCGTTTAGTCTGGTTACTGCAACTTCAGCCAAAGGTAGCTGAAAATCCGTCATTTGAACAGGAATGGTTTCTATGTGCATGCCACAGCGAAAAACAGTTTCGGTTTCTTAAAAAAGGATCCGCGAAACCAAGGTTTGTTCAACTTAACTGGACTTTCACGCGCAGCAACAGGTACCAATGAATCTCTGGACGATGGAGGAGCCGAGGTTAAGGACTGTCGTCGAAAGATGAAACAAGGCAAACCTGTATATTGTCAACATATGCTTCATTACGGCATTTCTGGGCATTTTCAAGCACTCGCTAATGTTTTAAAACGACGCATCAAAAGTGTCTCTCCAGAAAAAAATTAGTAAATAAACACAAAAAGTAGGTGTTGCGGGTCTTGATTCACTTCGTAATATATATATGTTTTACTAAAGTGACGGTTTCCAGCAGAAAAAACAGCACATCTTTCTTACATTTATGACGAAATACAGATATCTGGGGCCCAGATGGGTGTCTCGATACCGCGCTTAAATTTTTGACAGCTATATTTGTATACAGTAAATTAAGCTTAAGTTTATGTTTGATAAAGAAAAAACTCGATTTTCGGTGTTTTACCATTGAAGATGTAAAAGATACTGTGTAAACCCGACTGGTATGGTTATTGAACTGTTGTGTGCTTATAGAGCTGTTGTTGACAAACAAACCCCATTTTAGGAAAAACAGATATCACAATGTAAAGCACTTAAAAAAATACTTTATTTGGCATTGCATATCTGAATTGAAAGAATCATGAACTTGGGCAGCAGTTCTTCTTTTCTTCCCTTCTCTCTCTCTCCCTGCAGGCTTCTTTTCTTGTGCCATGCCACCGTACCAGAGTTTGGTTCCTTTATTCTTTTTTCCCCAGTAAGTTTCTCATTAAAATACCTGAAATTTAATAAATTAAAAACAAAAAGCATTTGAACCAGGTAGAAAATTAACCGTGTTAAACTGTACACACAAATGTGGCTCATGATTAGAAAATTGAAACCATTTGTATAAAAAAATATATATATTTCCATCTAAAGAGTGAAATTGTAGCAGGATCGCTTTAAAATTATAGGCTTTTACCTGATTAAGGATGCATGGACAACATGAATTTTAGTGTGAATGTAAGACCCTATTAAGAAAATATTATTATTTTGCAGATCTATAAATGCTACCTTATTGTATTTGTACTTTGATCCTGCAATAAATTAAATAATATGCACCATCCTTCCCATCGTTTTCTGCCTGTCCCAATATAAAACCCACTGGGATCAAAAAATAAAATACTGGCGGATTTATAATGAGGCTATAATATGCTGTTAAGG